GCCTGCCAGAAATTGCAGGTGATCTGGGACGCAATTTTCCCCAACATCTCGTGCACAGTCACAAGTAGTGTTGCCGTGGGTCCGGCTTCTGTCCGGCTTTAGCTGTGGGCGGAGCTGTAATTAGCCAAGCCGTGTGATTAGTTATGGCTTACATAATTCATGGCCTGGCCCAGTTAATAAAGCGCGCTTACTGTCTCCGAGCCGGCTTCAAGCCAGCTGATTTAAAATTAGAATTTTATATTTTTATATTTTTAATTTTATGATTACACATTGATCAAAAATAGATTACATTTACAATTATCGAAGATCTAACTACTACCAACGCACGATCGATAATCACACGGGCGCTAATGGCCCCCCAAGACCAAGTATGTCATTATTTCGTTAATGTTTGATGAAAAACTCAACTAAAGTAGGAACTGTGCTGCGTTTCTCCCCCATGGCAGCTACACAAGCCATCCGTGATGAAGAAACGCTGCAAATTAAAGCAGCGAGGAGGTGAAAGAGGACGAGAGGGTTGGAGAACGAGGTGGCGGGGTTGGATGGTGAGGGTGTTTGGTCGCGAAGGGCGGGAGTCGGTGGTGTTGGGTGGAGGCGTTTGAGAGATCGCGAAGGGCGTCGAAGGGTATGGGGGATAGGGGGATAGTTGCGGGTGGTAATGAAAGAAGCGGGTTCATCAGTTACATGTTCTACCTCGATCGTCGGTTGCATGCACCTTTAGCCGCTATGATACTCGTGCACACAAACACACACACATGCCGCCCGTCCTCCGGTCCTATAAGCCAATACCGCACCTGGGTTGTATATCACGTCAGCGCTAGAACACGAGTACGAATAAGCAAGTACGTACCCGCCCTAGAGTAGGTTAGCATATGCACCTCCGCTATACAAGTCCTCTGGGTATACATTCCACGACGGCGATGAGCTCGGAAGGTGCGCTAGGGATGTGTGGATGATGGGTACAGTAGGTGGTCGCGGGGAAGATGCTGCATATCCCTCCTTGTGGAACTGATTGGGAGGAGCCCATGAGCCAATACTGTGGTTCGACTCCTTGTCCCAGAGCTCGTTCTCCTGTAAACCAGATCAGTAATATATTTACAAAGGGACCTAAAACCACGCACGTAATCATTCCATGACTTGAGAGGAATCGCGCGAGGATCGAACTTGCCTTCGTCCTAAAGAAACTTCATCAGATCAATCAAAATAACGGGGACCACAAAACACCTACATGAACGATCATCTTCTTGCCAGATTCACCCAACACGACATGGGTGGCACCCCAGGAGAAGTCATCCATACGCCAGAACGAATAGAGCGGGAGCATGAGAGAGAAGATCGGGATGGCCAGTAGTAAGGTATCGATCTTCTCCGAGGTGCAGCAAGTTCTTCATGTGCAGGGTATCGACGCGGTTCTGCGAATAGTCCTGGATCATCTGGTTGGATATCAAAAGGGGCTTGTGGGTATTGGCAGTCCGCAAACGATATAGGGTGAAACAACCAGGTAAACAGGTAACAGATCCAAACAGACTCTCGAAAGCCTTGGCCATGTGATGCGAGATGAAATATTCGTAGACCTAGACATCCATTAGAATTTCCGACAACTTTATAGGTCTAAAGACTTGCCTGCATCATTGTGATAATCGACTGCTTCGTGTTCGCTAGTTCAGTCTCACCGCAAACCCCAAGCACCTTCTTGTCATGAATGCACCTACAGAAAAACAAACATCAACCTGGAATTCCCGGAATAACGAACATTGACTTACGCAGAGATCAACCGGTGGACAGAATAAGGCTCCACTGTTGTATCAGCATCGACCGTAAACAAATACTCGAAGAACGTCGGGTTGACACCAATCACATTCTTGATCTGGTGGTACATCTCCAGTTCGAGCGGGTTCATGGGCGTACTGAAGTGAACCTGCACATCAAGGTTAAACGACAACCCCACAATTCCACGAAAAAGATGCTTACCTTGTTCAAGAAATGCATGATCACCATCTGATAATCACGCTTGCCACGGTTACCCGGCCGTGAACGTTCAGAAATAGCCAGAGTTGGCCATGGTACTGATCTCTGCAGGCGTGTAACCCATGTATCCGACGCGGTTGCTCCATCGCATAATGGTCATACTCTCAAAGTACCAATCTGGACGGGAATCATTGGTGAAAGCGCGGAAGTCGTGATACGAAGCATTGGGATCGGTGTCGTTGGCAGAGCTGAGAGTCACATAAGGGCTGACGGAGCCACTCACGCCATTACACAACGCAGAGACCTAAAAGCAGGTAAGAAAGAACCAAACTGTCCATATGAATCCCACTAACCTGAACGGGGAAGATCTTGTCTGATGAAGTACCGCCATACGTCTGAAGGATTGTCTTGACAGGCACGATGCTAACAACGCGCTGATGAGTCGCCGCAACGGTCGTAAGATCAAACCACCTCTCCCCGAACCGACGTATACACATTGTTCGGCGAAGCGGTATACGAATGTGACGCCAATTCCGAGGTTGCTGAAAACATGCTCCGTGGACAGATCACCAAGCCCGGAGGAACGATGACGAAGAAAGGCACGACGTGCCGGCAGAGACAGGAAGGTGGTAAGAGAAGGCGACAATGTTAGTCAACGGTCCAGGGGGGGCAGAAGGTTTGTATGGCGGCAGAGGCAGGAAGGTGGTAGGAGAAGGCGGCAATGTGTTAGTCAACGGTCCAGGGGGGGCAGCCTGATAGAAACGAGCATCTGAGAGGACCAAAACACACCTAAAGACACGGTCAGTGGCATCTGAGTTCGTGTCTTTGGGTCTTCATAGAGAAGTGCGACACGGTCATTTCGAGTATATTGTTCGTCGGTCAGTAAACTGGCGCGAGAAAGGGCGATCCTCGAGCTCAACATATGTCAAGGATCTTACCCAGTAGTGGACTGAAGAATATCCGGATTGCCTAGACGAGGAGACTGTCAGATAACAACTGAAATTCAATATGCAAACACAATGCAAGAAGAATCATAAGGTGCGTGAGGGTAAACAAAACGTGAAAAACAAAAATGAAAGATCAAGGACATGTCAGATATCATAAACGACAACCTCGTCGTCGATGTCATCGCACTCTTGCTCTGCGATGGCTTTGAGGACAGCGTCATATGCGCTGCTGTCATCTGTAGGTCCACTTGAAACAGGCCCCAAAAGCTCATCGAAGCTATTGTCAGATACCACCCCAGTTTCCATGGCCCATTGCGATGCCGCCCAACCTTTGGTGAAGTTAAGTCGCTCCTTTTTTAAGGAGAACTTCACCATCTGTAGAGCTTCCATGAGGATCGGGCTGATACAGTTACGCCTCTTTGTGTACGTTTCGCTGCTCGACGAGAACACTCGCTCACAGGGAACAGCAGATGCCTGGACTGGGAGGTAGTCCATAGCAACGGCATAAACCGTTGGGAACATCCCCTCAGACATCTGGTCAAAATCTCGTGGTCAACAACAAAATACGTCACTTGATGGAGACGACTCTCACCTGCCAGAAGGAGAGTATATTTGTTCCCCTGGGGCTGATGTTAGCTGTGGTATAAGCCGCAAACTCCTGATCGATTGTCTGGACGATATCGTCGCCAACTGGCGGTGCATCCCCCTCACGAAGTCCGTAGACACGGGAGCCTAGCGTGCGTGATTGTAGTTTTGGGGGTGGTTGGATTGGAGCCGGTGTATTGGAGGTCCGCTGTGCTCTCTTGATATGCATCTAAAGGACATATGAGCGCATGCTGTTGCTAGCTAGATAGAGATAGACGTACTAGTTTGAAAATGAATTCCTTTGCTGACTTTACCCGGTCCTCATCCCAATGATCCGTAGCCCATGACATTCGGCAGGTTGGATCGACAACTATAAACCGATCATAAGACATCAAATTTTATAAAAATGTGAGGGACTCACACATCGCAACGGCATATGCATTTGTGCAGGACATCCTGTCGTCATACTTCTCCGCCCAAGTCAAACCAATGTTGATGAGCGGTGCACAGTGCGGGGCGCTATTGGCCACCTGCTTCCAATCCTCAAGTAACCTTTCAAACGCTGGAACCGCACGACCCAACATGGGAGTGCTCTCGCTCGACATGGATTGCTGAGCTCTGTGGGGGGGCTGAAATTACAAGGTTAAATACAACATAGGTTACGAAGATGTCGATACTGACCTCCAGAATGACTTCGAAGTCCTGTAGGAAATGCCATTCTATTGGGCTCAACTTTTTGTCGTATATAGAACGTTGGTTGGGAGACTCGAAGAACATATCAACCGCCTGAGCAATGGTTAGCCCACGACAAATATTCAGTGAGATGAGACCTCACCTGACGTAGATTGCGTAGACGATTGAGCATGACATAAACTGAATCCCAGCGGGTTGGCTCATCGAGCAAAAGCTCGACTGTAGGGAGCTTTATAGGCTCGCCTGTATCTCCCCGGAACCAATCCTTTTCATTACCTATCACGATGGTATCCCTAAAATTCGAACGTCGTTGGTTTGATGCACGGATGGAGCGAACAAGATTTCTGGCCCGTTCGAGAGCTTTACCGGTGATGGCGCCGACATACTCATTCTTGACGACGATTTGACCACACACATTCCAGGTATTCTCCACGGATGAGAAATCCGCTGTCGCATAGTCGTCAACAATATGTTTTACACATATGTTGATCACGTGCGGAAAGCAAGGAATTCGGTTTTCGATTGGATCATATGTGATCTCGCGTTCTTCGAGTAGGTTTGAAAGTTCCTTCATGCATGTTTGATTATTCGCCGCGTTGTCCAAAGTAAAGTGTCCAGGCTAAACGAAGTCAGAGCACATCATACGGTACAGCTGAACACTCACATCCTTTGCAACGTCAGCGCGATCGAGGAGATTCAGTATTACTGAACCGAGAGATTTGCCGGTATGACTTCCTGGAACGTGATGAAATGCGATTAATGCTGCCTTCAGGACGAGCACCGACGTCTGCTCTTCCTTGGCAATCCAATGAGCCGTGAGAGCCAAGAAGGGGCGGAGCTTCTGATCAGACCAGAGGTCAGATGTAAAGGATATTTTTCCTTGCGCCCTCTGTAAGAATACATAAGACGTATGGCGGGATTCTCGATAACTAGACACTCACGGCAAGATCACCTTTCAACACCTGGAAATATTCTTGCCACGCTACAATTATGAGCTCACGAAGTTTTGTGCGGTGGAGAATGTCTGAATCGGTCAAATCCTCCCGCAAAAAACGTATCAGGCGTCGAAATTCTAGACATTCTATAACGTTCATCGCCTGCAGAAATTGAATTAGCAAGGGCACGTAGAAAGTAAATATCAACTTGCTTGATCATCCGCAACGATGAATTTCACCAATTGACGGTGCATCTCGTCAATGCTGAAATCGGGGATAAAATCGTCTGGAGATAAGGTGGTTCCAGGTGGAAAATTGCCGTGTCCCTGATTAGGGATGGTACCGAGCGACTCAATGTGATACGCAGGGTCCGGTGTGGGAGAAATCGTAGAAGTCCGCTATAGTGATAGCGTACCGATCCTGCTGGGTGCGAGAATAGTAGTCGACCCAAGGGGATAGCTCTGAGAGCAGTTCCTCAAGTATGAGCGAGGGGAACAGTGAAGAAGGAAGTGATGCGCTGAAGACAGAACAGCTAGGTATGTGAGGAGATGCGGAGATGCGAGAATGCGCGGAGATGCGAGGTATGCAGATGCGGAGATGCGAGGTATGCAGATGCGGAGAAATGAGTGAATGTCAGGTGGGTACCAGGTATGCGAACGGATAGGGTACCAGGTATCAGAACAGGTAATCGGGTAGAGCAAACTAGGTACCAGGTATATGCGAAGACGTGCAGAAACCGCCTTGCAAAGGAACTCAACTAGGACTAGCAATAGTCAACTGTCAATGGCGATGCGAGCGTTTGCGCGGGATGAGAAGGCAAACAAGTGATTGCTCAAGCAAGGAAAGACAAGGTAAGACTAAGCTAGTGACTCCGCAACACACAACCAGAGAGGGAATGTAGGAAAGTACTGGATACGAGTCTGCAACGTAGTATATATCATAGTCCGTAAGAAACCGGAACTGTATAAGCGAGCGCATATGTACGCGAAGTCGGAGGGGATAATATGTAAGTAGCGCTATGCGACCTCATGCATGGGAACGGTATGCGGATAGTTCTGCGAATGATCAGGATCCAGTAATAAGAGATAAGAACGCACCAGTGGGAACTGACAGATACGGACAGGATATGGACGGACGGTACATTGCGATGCGATGCGTAGAGTGCGTGGATTCCGCAACCTTGTGTGATGGTCCGCAACGGCCTGTGGAAGGTAGGCATGACTTCGTCCAGTAAGGGAAAATGGTGCCGTACGGGGCTGCAGCCAGGGCGTCTCCTACACCTGCGGGGGACTCAAACACTGACCATCCCTGGTCAGCAGCATGCGTGGAATGTGGACTTAGCAAGGGACGTCCAAGGATAAGTCACGTGACCGGGCATATCGGAACGGTAAAGAAAAGGATGCGGATGCCGGTGATCGGAGTTGCGGACTTTTGATGCTTCTGTGGACCCGGAACAAGGGTTGCGTGTTAACACGTTGCGTGCGCAGTTTCCCTTCCATATAATCCTCTTCTTTTTCCCATTCTTTCTCGTTCTATCCTTCCTCTGCTATGCCTCCTTTCGTGTTCATCGACAAGCCATCTGTAGAGGACGAATCCGTGCGCCTTCGCAAGGAGTTTGCGACCCTCGTTGACAAGCTGGACGCAACAATCAAGACCATTCCGGATGACAGACCAGAGTTGATGCAAGAGAAGCGGGACTGGAATGCGCAATGGGATGCGTTATCTGTGAGTGCCCGGTGTTCCTTTCTTCGTGTTGTGCTGATTGGTGCGTAGGCTGCGTTCAGTGCTTGCTTTGCTGCTGCGCAGAAGCGAGGGTTGCAGCTGTCCTTGTCCACAGCTGATACCACTTTGGTGAAGAGCGGCAATGTGACCTACGCAATGCATGAGTGTCAATTCGCGGAGAAGTTGCAGGACGATGCGGAGAAAATGGACGTGGTTTTGGGCGATGCTGGGGGTGGGGAGGAGGATGCGGATGGGGAGCCTGAGGTTGCGAGCGCCACAGTGGTGACGTCTGCCAAACGTGCGCGTAAGGCGAAGAAGCCCGCAGAAGCTGATGAGCCACGCGTGTCGGTGCGTTGATGTCCTGTTCGTTGCGTGTCAGGGACTGTTTGGCTAAGGATGTGGTTGCGCAGAAATCTGGTGCTCGTGCGGTCGTCCCGGGTGCTAAGGTTGACCACGTTCTTCCTTGTGGCAATTGCAAGGGCGTGACCAGCCTTGCAGTGGTTCGCGGGGTCAGCAATGCGATCCCTGTAAGGTTGCGAGGACCAAATGCGAGTACGCGTCCTTTGGGAAGGCATCCACTAAGAAGGCCCCGTCCGCAACTCCTGTTGCTGGTGGATCTCGCCTATCCGCGCCTGGTTCCATTCGTCGTACCGTCTCCTCTCCGGAACGCCAGATACTCGAGGTCTTGATAGTGAGGTGGGTGCTAGACGACGTTCGGTCGTTACTGGGAAGGGAAAGAAGCTGGCAGTAGAGGACGATGTTGGTGATGCGGAGGATCTGGAGGAGTTGCACGAGATGCGCCAGGTGCGTGCGCAGCTCATGCAAGCCTATAGCATGATCTTCGAGGCCACCCTTGCGCTCGACAAGCAGGAGCAGCGCATCCTCAAGAAGCGTGCTGCCCGCAAGTAATTACCGTCCTACTCATCTGCTTCCTCCTGTACTACATTCGTTTTGCCATGTATGTGATCGTGTTTCTTGTCCGTTCCCGTCCGTGTCCATATCCGTATCCCGTCTGGTTCCTCACTGGGTGCCTATGAAACGAGAAGGATGGTGAGTGCGCGAATACGGTACTTTGTTAATTTGAGAACTAAAAGATGAGGACGTGTCTGGTGCGTGCGGAGTACCGTCCGTCTTATCTTCATCGTGCGACTGCCTTTCTGTGTCAAACCTGTGTCCCGGGTGTGGTGAGTATACGATGCGAACTTTATATGAGTCAAATGTGCGTGATGCGATAGCCGCGTGCGAATGAGAAGGGTATCGGTTGGTTGCGCATCGGGTCTAGTCCATTCTGTCCTTGTATATATATGTCTGCGTGCGTGGAGTACCGTGTTTTTCTGAATTAGTTGCGGTGTGGTTTATAGGGTAAAAAGAGCACCGGACAAAACCCGGGGTAGAAATGCATACTATATTACTTGATATATACGAGCGAAGCGAGCGTATGTGTTGAGTGATGAAAGTTGAAGGTTGCGGGGGTGGAAACGAGTGAGCGTAACGAGTGTCGGGCAAAAGGAATGTGGGAGTTTTATGTGTCTGGGTCCGCATCTTCATCTTCCGGTTCTTCAGTTCTCTTCTGCAAGGTCATCCAGATTGGCGTCGCGGATGGTCTGAGCAGGCCTCATCTTGTTTGCATCCGGGGCAGAACTTGACCCAAGATTCTGTGGCGATGCGAATTTCCTTGCGACTATTAGGATCCGTAAGCGTGATGTCTTGTTCTCCGTTGGGAAGGTCTTCAGTACGGCAACTCGTAAGAGTGAAGAATGGTCGTCCGAGGAGTATGTCGAAGTGTGCGGATTCTATTACCTGTACTTGGAACCAATTTCCCCTGAACCAAAATCTAGCGCAAGGTTTTCGATGACACCGAGCGTGCAATCTGTGGAAGTATTGACCGATTCCATGGTTAGCTTGTGATCCGAACGCAAGTACTTCTGATCCGAGGCTTTTCCATACTCTCCTTGGCATCACGATGCATTCAGCGCCTGGTCTAGGATGCAAGAAAGAATCCGCCTCCCTTCAAGGTTGCTTTGATACATCTCAATGCTTCGAAGTGTTCAGATACGATGCGCCCGTCGTCTGCTGCGGGGAGACAGTGATCATACTTTCGTACGAATGCTTCGATCGGAACGCGAGGTTAACTCATTGACTGATAATACCTTCCATGACTCGCTTCGGGGTGATGAGCTCCCGGAATACCTTGCGGATGTCGGGTGAGACTGCCATGAGCTCCGTATGGGTACATTGACATTTGAGTCTAGCATGCGGTCCACGACTCG